CTCTACCACTGACAATTCTTGAGACCCTCCGGTCACTCCAGAAATAGAAACAGCCTCCACACTCTTATGCTCCGATGGCATTAAAGTACACTGGGCACCAGTATCCACCAAAGCCCGGTATCTCTGAGGATCCGATGTGCCAGGCCATCGAACCCACACAGCCCAGTAAACCCTATTATCTTCCTGGTCTCTATCCTTCTCCTGGCAGAAGGCAGGGCCCCTCTATTGGTCTTGATCAGAGTATTCATCGTCCGCCTTTGACTTTGCTTTCTTAGAACCTTTCTTGTTACTGTCAAAGCGGACCTCCATTTTTTTGTGTTTCAGGGATTGCAGGGCATCTGCATCAACCACATAGACAACCTTTTTGTTGTCTTCCTTTTGTTGTAATTCTCTTACTCTGTCCTCAAGTTTGGAAGTGGGTGCACCATCCCACTTCTTCATGTTTTCTCCCTTACCACGCAGATAGGACTACAGTTGGTTGCGTGATTTCCGTCTGGGGTATCCTCTCCTTCTGCGTGCTAGGAAAGGAGACTGTGAACAAGGCCGGGACCAAGATCGAGGTCGAAATCGTGGTCGAAACCACTTTATTGGTCTGCTTCTATAGTCTCTATAATCTATGTAAACTATATCATTTTTCTTCTTATAGTCATCTTCATATTCGGAATATTCATAGGGCCTCTCCAGTGCTTCCTTAAGATGGGTAGGTCGGTTTCGGGCATTAGAGGACTTTTCTAAATTTTTGGCTATAGTCCTTATCCATGAACACATGGTGTCCACAGTTGGTTCATCCGTCTTTGGATTGTAAATTGATATCAAACAGTTGAGGTACGATGCAGGGGCACCTCTAATCACTTGCCTCCACATAGGCTCTGTACAGGCAATCTTTTTTGGTTTCAAACAGTCGTAATAGTCTGAATTGCAATATATGAGTTCCAGCATGGCTAATTCTCTTAAGTATTGGACGCCTTCTTCTGCAGTCGTCCACTTTTTGGGAGAACTCATTAAATATTCTTTAAATGGGTATTTCTCCCTCACACCATGGAGGATTCGGAGCCAGAGACTGAGATTGTATGTTTCTCTCGCGATTTCCTGTTCTATTTCACGGTCCATAGCGAGGGATTCTAGTTGCCGTGCCTCATGACCCTCTAACAAGTGACTTTTGGCCCCATTATCCCAACATCTTACTAGCCAGGTGAGAATTTGTTCACCAGGTCGGCGGCTGTAATCCCGTCGTAGATCTCGGAGCTCTGCTGGGGTCATTGTTCGCAGTACCTCACTCGTTCGCACAACTTCTGTTCCGGAATAAGGGTCTCTTCTACGTGGAATCATTTCCACTTCTCTTTTGACGCTTCTACGTGGAACCGCTTTCTCTCTCTCTCTGCCTCTTTCACGTGGAGGCAGAGACTGAGCATGTAGCGGGGATAGGCTTCTGCTCCGTTGTCTAAGCACTCGAGGTGGAGGTAGCGAGTAGTCCTTCAGATTTTGGGATGAAGGTCTCAACTGTTCTTCTGTATCTTCCGCTGGAAAGTCAAGAAGAGAATATTTGGGTATCAGCCTTTTCTTTGGTGGTTTATTGGCCATCTGTGCTGCTGCCCCTTCTTCCATTAGGTGTGTTCTGTTTTCTTTTGGGCGTGCTCCTAATTCTTTTGGGCGCGCTCCTTCTCTCGCTGCTGCTTCTTCTTCTTTTGCAGCCGTCCATTCGTCCACTATTACATAGCTGGATGGGATAGGTTCCATGGGGCTGGCAAGTCTCTTTGCTCCTTCTTCTTCTTCTTCTTCTTCTTCTTCTTCTTCTTCTTCTTCTTCTTCTTCTTCTTCTTCTTCTTCTTCTTCTTCTTCTTCTTCTTCTCCTTTTATACGCCTTAATCGTGGAACTAGGCCTGTAGCTTCTGCACTATCCCTTATCCATATCTTCTTCTTAGTTAGGGGAGCGATAGTGATTCTCGGGTTGGTAGTTTGGGTCTTCATCTCTGTTGTAGTCTTAACATTAGATGTTGTAGTTTGAGTTCCAGTGTCCACGAGATTTACAGTCTGGACTCCAGTTTCAACGGATTTAGCAGAAGCTGTGCTAACTTCAAGTTGGGTTTGTGTTCCATGCTCAGTTGAATTAACGGAGACAGCACTAACTTCAGGCTGAGTTTGTGTTCCACACTCAGTCAGTTTAACAGACACGGCACTGACTTCAGGTTGAGTTTGTGTTCCACATTCAGTCAGCTTAACAGAGATGGTGCTGATTTTGGGTTGAGTTTTTGTTCCACACTCAGTCAGTTCAACAGAGATGGTGCTGATTTCAGGTTGAGTTTGTGTTCCACACTCAGTCAGTTCAACAGAGATGGTGCTGATTTCGGGTTGAGTTTGTGTTCCACACTCAGTCAGTTCAACAGAGACGGTGCTGATTTCGGGTTGAGTCTGTATCCCGACGTCTGTGGACTCAATAGGGGCATCATTTGTTTCAGGCGACATAGTTTGACTTTCTGCCTCTGCCCTAGGCTTTTGATAGTGATTTATGGCAGCTCCATAAGCTGTCACTAGACCTCAGCATAAAGCAAGGAGCTGCATATTTGGATCATCGTATGAAAGACACCCTTCAACTAAACAACGTGCCATCTCGTCAGGATTAGACACTTGTTCTGGCGTGAAGTCCCAAACAATGGGAGGTGTCACACGCCCTACCAGTTTGCCGAAATTTACCCATGCTCCTTGCCATCCAGAAACTGGCCTTTCCAAGACCCTTCCCAAAGTTCCAGTGAATCCTCTAGAGGTCTGGCCTTTTTTACAGTACAGAAGGCAACACAGCACCATTCGTCCAGTTTTAAATAACTCTTTCACCGCCTTCACCAGTACTAGGATTGTTACTAAACAATTTAAGTAAAAATTAGAGCCAATTGTAATGATGGGGATCTCCTTTAGCAGGCCTTTAATGTCAAAATTGAGGGAAGTGAAATACACCTTCCATTCATTCTAATCAAGGAAAGTGAGATACTCCTTCCATTCATTCCAATCAAAGAAAGGGACATAGTCCTCCCATTCATCTCCAGTTGGGCGTTTCCCTACATGATAGCCCAAAACAGGCACAAATATAGCTAATATAATGAAACAAGTAGTTAGAATAGCCATAGTTGTATTATTCTTTCTCTCTGTTCCTAAACAATAGGTTTGTTTATATAAACAAGCCTCTCTTGGCAGTTTTCCTGGTAACTGTTCCAAAACAAACCAGGATAACCAAAACAATCTCCCCGTACGGGCCACCAAAAATGTGACGGTTTGGACTTGGCTCCCTGCCAAATGCCCGAAAGCTAGGACAGCAGCTCCCTTCTCCTCTTCTTTCTTCCCTTAGGTTAAAGGAGAAAGAAACTATAAAAATTAAAGAACCCACAATCAAGCTGCTTATATAAAAATATATCTATATTTACGCAAATTACAGTTATATACAGTTAAGATGCTATATACACAGAAAAAGGGGGTCCACCCCCCGCAGGGATAGGGAAAGGGAAAAAGGGGACAAA